ATGAAAAATTATAATGGTAGAAGAATCGAAGAGCCAAAAAGGTGAGAGAGGAAGTGAGAAGTCGGGTATTCAAAGAAGGGAGAGGAAACAAACAGTTGAAGAAGAGGAAGCAAGGGAACGGAAGCTAGGAAGGTGTATTCACTTTATAAATCATGGACACGTCGAGTTTTACCTACCTAAAGAGATGAGAGAAGAGGTGTCACGGTCTTGAGCGGGAGGAAATGTCGTCGAGTAGAGGAAAGACAGGAGGTCTCAACGTTGGTGTCGAGCGGAGGAAGAGACAACGCCACTACCTTGCAGAGGAGGCGGCGAGTGTGGGACTTCCAACGCACTCAAATCTGGCGAACGAACCGACAAAGGAGGAGAAGAGGGGCAGCCTTGGTGTTTGGTGACAATGCCTTTATCGAGCTTAAAGGAGTCGGTGAGGGTGTCGTGCAGAGGAAGAAGATCTCGTGTATAGTGTTGGGCCGAGCCTTACGGGAATCAGAACTCACACTTGCAAAAGGTGTTCGAGCCAAAGGTAAGGTTAAGGCTTTAAACGATAAATTTATAAATTTATTATATTATTAATTATTAATTTTAATTTTTAATAATAAGGTTTAATTAGTAAAAACCGTTAGACCTTGATTTTATTGTTTATTTAATAAAAAATTATTATGCAATTTAAATATAAAAGTTTTGTATATTTATAGGACTAATAGAAAAATACAAATTACATAAGCTAGAAAGTTAAATTAGGAGAACCAACGTTATTATCTATAGTTTTATTAAGCTTAAGTTGTTTAAAATAAATAATTAAATGAAGATAACAATTAAGATAATAATAAAATAATTAAAATAATATGAATAATTAAAATAATATGATACATTCAAAGGGTCAAATAAAGACAAAATATTATTTTATAATAAGATTAACATATAATAATTTATAATAATTCTTTTGCATTTGACTGTAGGTTTCTCATTAGAGATAAGTGAAGCGAGCTTTTGTAATCATCAGTGATCGAGGTGAGTATTAATATTCTTCTACTATTGCGGCATTTTGCGTCTTCTAGACTGAATTTATTAATTAGCACTTTCATTAGTTATCTGATAAATTATTGTAAACTCATCATTTTGAATTCTAGTGAATTTTTCTTTATATCGAAGGGATAGTATGTGTGCACATCATTATTGTATAATTTAGCTGCTATGCAAATGAGAAATGAATTTTTTCTTAGAAAGTGATATTCTTATTGGATGCTTGTATATGCATGATTGACTATGATGGAGTCACCCCTTGATGACAATAGTTGGGGAATACTAAGGTACCCTTGCACGTAAATAAAAAAGAATATTAATATTAAAGTAGCTTAAGTGATACAAATTTTAGACGATGTTCATATGACAATTATATAGATATGAATTGATATTGATATAAACTCTTTGAATAACATGTTAAATGTTTAAATTGAATTGATTTATAAATGATTTATAAAGAAGCTTAACTAACATGTATATTGTTTTTTTTTCTTCTATTATTGTATTTTAGAAATATGAATATTCAATGACTTGTTTAGTTCATCATAAATTTAAACTAATTTTTCAGGTTAATTAAGCGATTAACGATGAGTATTAGACATTTATAAAAGAAATGGACAACGAGTAACGAGGTAACTTTAAATATATTGCTTCAAATTAATTTTATTAGTAGCTTTTTCATTTATTAATAGCTAGGTTAGAAAATTAATATGAAAAATATTAACTCTCACCATCTGACCGACTGTACTCGCCTCGGGTTAAGTTCAATCATCGGGCCGGGTCGCGACAAAAGTGGTATTAGAACCAAGGTTTAAGATTAATTAATGCAATCTTGATGAAAAAACCAATAGAATAATTAAAAGAAATATTATAAAAAATTTAAAGTTAACCAAAAGTAGTAATTATTATCCATTCAGACATAGTGATACGCCTGAAATAATAGAAGAGAGTTCAATAGAAAATTTATGGATAACTAATCTTGACGTATTTAATGAGAAATGACTTTAAGATTTGTTTATAAATTTAGATGATGAAATTTTTTGTAAGTGGAAGAGCTAATAAGGTGGGAGAGGAAGTGAGAAGTCGGGTATTCAAAGAAGGGAGAGGAAACAAACAACTGAAGAAGAGGAATCAAGGGGATGGAAGCCAAGAAGGCGTATTCGCATTATAAATCACACAACAGAACGAGTTTTGCCTACTTGCAGAGATGAGAGAAGATGTGTCTCGATCTCGAGCGGGAGGAAACGACGTCGAGCAGAGGAGAGGCGTTAGTTCTCGACGTCATTGTCGAGCGGGGGAAGAGGCGACGCAAATTTCGTGCAAAGGAGGCGGCGAGTGCGGGAGTTCGTGCGCACTTAATCCCAACAAATGAACCGAGGAAAGAGGAGAATAGGGGCAGCGTTGATGTCTAGCAACGACGTCGCTATCAAGCTTAGAGGAGGAGTCGGCAAGGGTGTTGTGTAGAGGAAGAGGAAGCACGAGGAAGAAGATCTTGCTAGTAGTGTTGGGCGAGCCTTGCGGAAATCAGAACTCGCACGTGCAGAGAGGTGTTCAAGTCGAAGGTAAGGTTAGGGTTTTAAACGATAAATTTATAATTTTATTTTATTATTAATTATAATTTTTTTATTTTTAATAATACGGTTTAACTATATCAGGCTTTAAGCTATAAATAAGTTTTATAGTAAGAACAGTTAGGGCTTCATTTTATTGTTTATTTAGTAAGAAATTGTTACACAATATAATTATAAATGTATGTATATTTATAGGACTAATAGAAAAAAAAATAAATTATATAAAATACCTAGAAAGTTAAACTAGGAGAACCAACATTACTATCAATAAATTTATTAAGCTTAAATTGTTTAAAAGAAATAATTAAATGAAGATAACAAGTAGGATAATAATAAAATAATTAAAATAATTAAAATAATAAGATACATAGGAGGGTCAAATAAAGACAAATTGTCTTTTTATAATAAGATTAACATATAATAAATAAATAATAATTCCTTATGCATTTGACTTTAGGTTCTCATTTGAGATAAGTGAAGAGAACGTTTAGAATCATTAGTGAACGAGGTGAGTATTAATGTTCTTCTACTGTTGCGGTATTTTGCTTCTTCTGGACTGAATGCATTAATTAATACTTTCATTAGTTATCTAGTAAATGATTGCAAGCTCATGATTTGGAATTTTAGTGAATTTTTGTTCATATTGAAGGAATGGTATGTGTGCACATCATTATTGAATGATTTAACTATTATGCAAATGAGAAGTGAATATTTTTTTATTAGAACCTGGTATTTTTATTGGATGTTTGTATGTGCACGATTGACTATGATGAAGTCACCCCTTAATGGTACTAATAGGGGCACGCTAAGGTATACGTGCATGTAAATGGGAAGGTATATTGATATTGAAGTAGCTTAAGTGGTACAAATTTTTAGATGGTGCTCATGTGACATTCGTATCGATATGAAAATGATATTGACATGATATTGAAATAAACTATTTGAATAGCATGTTAAATCTTTATATTAATTTACAAAAAAGCTTAACTGACATGCATATTATTATTTTTTTTTTTGTATTGTTGTAGTTTAGAAGTATGAGTATTCACTGACTTGTTCAGCTTATTATAATTTTAAATTAACTTTTTCAGGTTAATTATGTGATTAACGATGAACATTAGCCGTTTATAGAAGACTCGGATAACCAGTAACGAGTTAACTAAATATATTCTTTGAAATTAGTTTTATTAGTGGCTTTTTATTAGTTACTAACTGGGTTAGAAAATAAATATGGAAAATATTAACTCCGACCGTCTGTATCATCTTGGTTATTTTCAAGCCCCGGGTTGGATCGTGACAGAAGTATATATATTTTTTAAATATTAAATTTTATATAATTATTTTTTTCTACAAACATAAAATTTTGTAATATCAATTATCAATCATAGTTATTAAAGTAGATCTCGTCATGGATTTTTGTCGTGATAGTTGCGACTTCTCTTGGTTTGTCGCTCACTGTAACTTTACTATTCAATTAAAGCACTAAAAAAACTTTGATTCAGGTACATTTCTGCCCCTAGTTCTATCCTGAAACTCTTCTCTATTCGTTAAATTTGTGACTCATATTAGTTTGTCTTTCATCATAATACAATATTTTTGTCTCTATTTATGAAACTTGATATTATCAACTCTAGCCATTAAAGTTTATCTCATCATGGATTTTTCCTTGATTTATGTAACTTATTTTAATTTGTCTTTCATCATAACTTAGTTGTATTTGATGACCTTGCTATTCAATCAAGACATGAAAATTGCTTACTCCAAGCTTCCAGGTGCAATGCATTCAAGAATGCTTGCAAACTTATGTTCTGTCACCCTCTCCTTGTAGACTACATCGATCTAACTAAAATTTTTGAAGTCATAAAGAAGATTCTATCAGAGAAATTTTGTGCTGGTAGGAAAAGTTGGTTCGTCCTACATCGACGTTTTTTATGTAGATTCATATTTTTTTTAAGAAAATGTTCAAAATGGTTCTTTAACTATTTGTTAGGGGTCCATTTTAATCTTAGACTCTGTAAAAACCCTGAATTAGCTCTTAGACTCTTTAAACATGGATCAAAATAATCCTATTGTCTAGGTTGATAGAAATTCAAACGTGTTAAAAAGGAATGCCAGGAAATAAAAAAAATAAAAAAATTTTTGTTTGAATTTTTTAGTGAAATCCAATTTCATACTTATATTTTTTCTTAAAGTACCACAACTGATTTCATGTGTAACAAGTGTGGATTAAGATCATGCCGGTTATTGTAAACGGTGGGACTACTTTGGTCCCTATTTGAGTAGTTTGAGGATTAAATTAGGATTTTTTTATGGTCTAGAATTAAAATTGCCTCTCAGAAATAGTGGAGTCATTTTGATCACTCTCTATTCTTTCTTGATACTGACAATTCTTTATTTCACATCTTTCAGGCTGCGTTGAAGACTATAAGTGAAGAAGACAAGTATTTTTCTAGGGTATTTCTAAGGTTGGCTTCATATAGTAGTAATCTGTTTGGTCTATTGACTAACATCTTTTAACTTAGCATGAATTGTCGTATTAAAGAAATATTGTTATACTATGAACCAATTCCCGCCTACAGAATTCCTTCAATTGGAATTGGTATTCCAAGCTCTGAGATGAATTTACAAAAAATGAAGGTTGATGTCAATCTGGGTGTTCTTTTGCAAGGAACAACTCCATCAGAGTTTTCAGTGGATGGTTGGGATGGAATTGCTCTGGAGTATTCTGTTGACTGGCCCTTACAGCTGTTCTTTACTCCAGAAGTCCTTTCTAAGTATGCGTTTGAATGTTGTATTTGTATTTTATAGTTGATCTGTTGCTTCATGGTATTACCTTATTTGAAAGGAATCTATTCTATTGAAAATTAAAGCAATTAATATGATGCAGGTACCTTAAAGTTTTCCAGTATTTGATCAGACTTAAGCGAACACAGATGGAACTGGAAAAATCATGGGCTGGTGCAATGCATCAAGACCATGCTGATTTCGCCAACCATAGAAGAGAGAAAAAGAGTTGTTCTCTATCTCAACATCGTCGACAACGAACAAGACCAATGTGGCAAGTTAGAGAGCATATGACTTTTTTGATCAGAAACCTTCAGTTCTACATCCAGGTTATTTGGTATACCACCATTTAGAAATGATTTATGTACTAATACCATTGATATAAGTCATTGTAAATTGCCTGCCATCCTATTTATTGTTATTGACTCTATGAATAGGCTATAAATTTTGGTAGTTACGTTTGTTGGAACTTTTTTTTTCCAATTTTTTTGAGAGGCAATATTACTTTACAGGAATTACTTTTTCGTCGAAATTCATATGTAAAAGTCAGTTTTGTGTGCAACAAAATATAAGGAATAGCATCACCCTGATTTACTCGAACTGTGCTCAAGAAGGTCTAAATGTTTTGCATAATTTTTACTACATGATCTTAGCTCAAGGGTAAGCTTCTACTTAATTCTATTCAAGTTTAAGTTTAGTACTTAAAAATCAATACAAGTCTCTTTGAAAAATGTCTATGTCAGTTTCCAGAAATAAGGCCCTTCGTTGTAAGAATCTGAAATTTGAAGTCCAGCACCATTGCCAACCTGCTTAACTTTAACAGGAATAGTACTAGCCATGCCCTCCATTATGGAAACTTCAATTACTTGATGCTCCGCCTTCATTCATACTGCCTCCATTAGTTTAGTCTCTTTTGTTTATCTGATGAATTTTTTTGAAATTTATGCTTTGCTGGCAATCATTTTAGCTAATGAGAGTGCATCCTTTTACAGGTTGATGTCATTGAGTCTCAATGGAACTTATTACAAGCACATGTGCAGACTTCCAATGATTTTACCGAACTTGTGAGCTTCCACCAAGGGTATGTACTCAATTATATAAAATATTTTTAGAGTTGATCTCAAAATATACATTTTTTATAAGAACATGAAATTGGTGCATTATCTTGTTTAATAAGCAGAATCATGGAGTATTTTATGATTTATCCCAAAAAAGGTTGTGTTGCTTTGCAGAAGATGCATATAAATGTGAAGTTTTAGATCCATTTTATATAGATAGATAGATAGATAGATAGATAGATAGATAGATAGATATATTGAGATTTGCAGGATTATTATAACAATGGATTGATTTGGTTAACAAATCTTTTACAAAAAATTAGAGGATACTAATTGATGAGGAGCATCTTGATGCAAGCATTTAAGAACAATGGAGATGATCGATGTTGTGGTAATTACAGGGGAGTAAATTTATTATTCTTATAATTAAGGAAATAAATCCCAAGGTATTTTTTCAACTATTCGTATATGGCCAATTCAATCTCAATAGTATCACAATTTATCAATTTAGTCCCTTAATTTAAAAGATGGATCCAAAATGGTCCCTCGTATATAGAAATGGTGATACAAAATTGATTCAAACTTAATCCCTCTAATAAAAAAAATTACTCTCTATAAATCCCAAGTGGACTATTTTGAATCAATTTTTTATACTCGGGGGACTAAATTATAGAAATGTGATGTTCTTAGGCTAAATGGGCTACATATGACTAGTCACGAGATTCTTTTCAATAATTAAGTACAAATGAGGGCAATAGATTAGAAAAATCACATTATTATCAGATAATCAAATATCTCTCCTTCCCATGGAGTACAAGAAGGAAGGAAGGAGCTTGTCTTAAGAAGTCTTCAACATGGAGGAAGCCATCAACAACTTCCCAAGCTATCATAACTAATAAAGTTGGGGAAATGTATGTTTTTCTGACTTTTAGTTCTGTCGCAACAACACTTGTGTTTTAAAATGTAATTCATATGTTTTATTGTTGATTCAAAATTCGAATGCACTTACAGAACTATGCAGTTTTAATTGCAATTTCAGTGTTATTCATATTTTTTTATTATTGGGTACTTTATAGATGAGACAAAATTTAATAATTTGTTGGATAGCTATGCTGTATTATTTATGTGCCTTTGGTTTCCATTGCAGATATTTATCGGCTTTGATTTCTCAGTCCTTCCTGGATATTGGGTCTGTATCTAGGATTCTGGACAGCATTATGAAACTTTGCTTACAGTTCTGCAGTAACATTGAGCAGTATGAAACTAATCAAAATCTTTCTGAATTGGAACAAATAACTGAGGTTTGTCTCTGTGTTTATATTTGACACACTTTTTTTTCATTTTATATTGCTAAATGTTTTAATTAGTTTGGTTATCGTATTTTAATTGTCAATAAATTTATCAAGCGTTAAAGTGTACCCATGGTTTCGTGTTCAGAAATTTCACCTATGAAAGTAATGGTCTTCTGATCAAATTGAACAGTTTCAACTATAGTTACATTATCGTGTTATTATTTCATCTCTGAGTTTACATTTGGTGCAGTGCTTGTTTTCTGTTTGTGCTTTGTGTTGTCAACAAGGTCAGCCAAAGTTTAGCCTTCATTATTTTCTTCAGAGGCACATATTTACTGGCCTTACCGTGCCATTCATTATTAGACAATCAAACCTAGCGGCCAGAAACGTAGACGTAAATATAGAATTGCTTTACTAATAACATCCTAAATTTGTTGCTCATTTTGACAAAAGAAAAAAAAAACTGTTCTAATTTGTTTGGAATATTCTAATGGATTGGATAGCCCCCCTTATAAGACAACATGCAAGGAGAGCACTAAAAGTTTGACATGCATGAAATGAAATCTGTTGGAGTGTACTAGTATATTTAAATAAAAAGAAGTAATGAATGATAAAAAAATAAAATAAATCTTCCTTTATTTTTTTATTATCTTTATTGATGTTCCCTAGCCTGAATGGGATAAATTGAGGGTTGTTGTTATGTTGATAATAAATCATAAAAACTACTTCAATTAATGTTCAATTAATGTGAATTCAGCCTAGCATTACAGAAGGGCAGAGGGAAGGTGGTGGATAGTCCACTTGCAGCCAATAACATTTGATGTCATTGATGAGAATTGTGTACTGTTCGTAGCTGCCTCTCTCTCTCTCTCTAGGTATATTAGGGAATTGTTGGAGGTGTCGTTGAAGCTATGAAGCCTCCTCTCTTTATAACCCCTTTGAAGTCTATATATGAAAGAAATCCGCAAGACTAAGGGGGTATTTGGTAGCATACTTTTAATAAAATTTAGCCATAAATTTAACGTAAATCCAGTCAAACACCAAATAAATGAAATTTAAAACTTGTGCTCCGTTAAATTGAATCTTCTTACGTTCCATCTTCAACTTAAATCTAGATTTACTAAATCTGATTTGCTGGCAGATTTAAGGGAGTTATTCTGACATGGCTTGCATGCTCTTTCTCCTTCAAATGTAGATTTATTGGATTTACTAAATCCAATTTAACGTAAATCCGGGATGCAGTCGAATACCGCATAAGTGTTACAATGCTTATTTCATAGAAATGTAAAATTTATTTTCTTGTCATCAATAAAAATAGCAGTTGTGCTAAGAAATGCTAGAAGTGGGCACACGTTAGTCTATAATTTAAATTAGAAACCTTTGTTTCATTACTTCTACAACCAAGCTATCGATGTGGAAAGAAAATCATGTAATTAATCCCTGTATCAATTCATAAAAGATGTGACTAGAGCAATGAATGATATATCTTTATTATAATTTGGGATCATCTATTCTTTCATGAAAATAATATTTGTCACACGAGTCATCAAACTTCTGGCATGAACTTCTCAGACTATGTTTTTTGGAACAATACAATAAATCTTGTATTGCACTGATTTAAACGCATATTTCAGTGTTTTAAAGTCTATCATGACCAAGAATACCCTGTCCTAATTTTAGTCTTTCTTTGGCCTGTTTTGGTTCTTATAAAAGAGTAACTCAGACTGTGTCACTTACAAATCCTTGTTTTGCTTTCCTTATTCTGTACCAGGAATTTAATAAGAAGTCAAATTCTCTTTACACTATACTCCGTAGCAGCCGGCTTGCCGGAAGTCAGAGAGCACCATTTCTCAGGCAATTTCTTATGCGTCTAAATTATAATTCCTTCTTTGAGGTAAACTCATATCTTCTTCTTTCTGAACTCAGTAGCTTTACTGTTGCTACTTCAACTATGGCTCATTTGTTCTATTATTCTCACAACAAATAGGCTACTGCAAGAGGTGTGTTAAATGGTGTTAGACCGCGTCCAAATTTGCCTTCTCTGCAGCAAAAACCCTAAAATATCAGTAAAGAACAGATTTAGAAATACTTTTTGGGGATCCAACTTGTTTAATTGGCTGTAGAGATTAGCAAAACTGTTCTTTTACGTTGGAGAGTATTACTAAGAGCTACTGATCTACTGTTCATTGGAGGCTGATTAGACCCTAAACAAGATGCTTACCCACATATAACAAGATTTCCTGGTTCTGCAAACTGCCTATCTGTTACAAACTAAATCAGGTCTTGTGAACTGATATTATTGTATTATTTTGTTAAATGATGGATAGATATTTTATGAGCGTAGTTCATCTTTTGTGATTGTCCACTTAAATATTAAGATTTTATCATTAAATTTCTTGCAATTATGTATATTATAAGGCTTCAGCTTTGGAATTTGGAGCTTCATTTCGCTACTGATGTTTGGCTTGTTTTTAAGATTAAATTGTCTGGGGGTTTATTTTTGTTGAAACAACTTGTGGCTCGAGATAGCATAAAATTATTGCAGGAGAGTTGAATGCATTTTTTAATCGACCCTCTGTAAATTTATGTTCAGTCCAATGCATAGGTGAGGGAGCATGTAAAAGTTGAAGTTTAGGTGTTAGATATGTAAATATATAAGGTTCGAGTGCTATGTATGTAAAGCTTCTTTTTTTTTATTTTTTATTAGTAGACGGCTATGGTTTAATTTAAATTAACTATGATGAATAGTTAATCAACTAAAATTTTATATTACATTCAATATTTACTGTACCTATATCTTTTCAGGAGAACTTACATCTATACCAAGTTATTTTTATGCAGTCACACTATCTAAGATCAAGATATTCATATTTACATACTACTCATATCTTTAACGTCACATAAAAATTCTTCATCATTATGCTTTTAGAAGTGGAATACGGCTTTCATACAGGTTTATGATTCCAATATGTTAAGAGTTTAAATGTGAATGATAAAACGCCATACACGAACTGAATCTAATTTATTTCACTATGCTAGGTGAACCAATTTATTCAAGCACGGACTGAATCCACATCAATTGAAACGAGCTCCAATTCATCAATTTTAAACATATTCATATTTAGTTAAAAACCAAATAATAAAACAGCATAAATATAAGAGGCCAAATCCCGCAGACAACTTAAAAAGAAGAAAAAAGAAGAAGAAGAAAAAAACTCCAAACATTGTTTTGATTGAAGGAAATGAACTAAAACCCCAATAAATTTTGGGGTTTCGATTATAAATTTACAATAATTGATCAAAGCTGCTCAATCTATTTTTCATTACTTTCACTCAAATTCCATACTCCCAAGTATTATAAGTGATCCGTTCTTTCCCAATTCTTCAGCATTAAACAGCCAATAACTTATAAAATGTCAGTCAATCAGTCTGAATCTCATTGCTGCTCTCTCCCAGCTGCTGCCCCAAGAGATTCAGCCTCCAATCCACAAAGCTTTTTCTTTGCATTAGCAGAAAGAGTTTATCTACCAATGGCCGCTGGGACCAGCATGAGCTGCAGCAACTTTTCTGGACAAGTAGGGTTTATGCTGAACCAAGTTGGATCCTTCAATACCCTCATCTCCTCTCTCATTCTTACAGCTAGGGTTCCTTCTAGGGTAAGAACAGTTAGAAGAATTGTATTGTGAAGTATTCGCAGGATTTCTTGCGATTCTTCTTTGCTCGAACGGATCCGCACAGCCGTTTGTAGTGTTGTTTTGGCGATGATTGGAACCAATGGCTTTTCCTGGCCTCACAGCAGTCCCTGCTGGCACGGAAAAATCAGTTTATTAGATACAACTCCGAGCACAAGTAATTGGCCTTGATCAAAACTTATAGCAGATGAGTCACAATGTCATCGGATTAGTTTTGAGATGAGTGTAATATTAATTTGTATTGATTTATCATGTATTACAATGATTTCAAAGCACATTAAACCATCTCTTATTCAAATTTGGTCAGGAGATCCTGGCCCAAATTTTTTTCTGGCTGCAGAAGGGAAGTGGAGCGCAATATATGATATTATTGATTTAATATTATTAATATGAAGGATAATCATAGTGTGAAACTTCACATTTAGATTTGGTGTATTTTGTATAAAGATGGCAGCATTATCATAAAAAAAGGGACATCCGCCAAAATTTTTTGCATATATCAAACGAGTGTAGTGGTGATAAATCAAGTCCTCTGCATATTAATAGGTTCCATTTGAAAGAGGTACAAGAACAATTTTTGTGGTCATACATAACTAAGATTTTATCGGAGGCAACTTAGAAGTATGTACGAGCTACATCAATAAACTTTTAAAGTAGCGTTAGTTCGAAGTAATTCAGAGTTCACCTTATCACAATTGGCCCGAGAGGTTGGAGTTAATCAACACAGGAACGGACAGTCGACGGTGAAAATAATCAATATTAACAGTAACAATGGTCTACAATAATATCCAACCATAAAAAAGCCACAAATCCATAAAACATAGTAACATCATGAAAAAAGATACATCAGATCAACCAGATTGAAACAACGACAAAGTCTCATAGTATCATATTTTTTCCCCGCAGACCATCCATTTGTGCCTTAGTGAACTCCAAGCTCTCGGGCCGGACAGTAACAGACTTGGAGCCAGAGAAGGTGTTACTTTTCCTCGACATCTAGAGAGAGAAGACCCAAGAACAGAACAGGTGATCCCAAGTTCATAGAGGCTGCTGATCAGGGCCAGTATTCCTAACAACTGACTTAACCATATTGATAATGATAGGAGCTTCAACATATCAACTGACCGCGTTCATTTAATTTTGGTTACAATCCATTATACCAAACATTTTGAGTTGTTGTAAAATATGCAAACCCTCTCCGATAAACATTGCATTGTAACATGATGATCGTAATCACGACAATAACAATTCTCTCTTCATCTCCATCTGAAGACCCTTTGAGACTCATTTAGAGGTGGTTGATCGGGGCTAGTATTTCTAATAACCAACATGACCCTATTGATGATGATAGGAGCTTCACCCTATCAATTGAACACTTTCATTTAGTTTTGGCTACAATCCATTATATTGAACATTTTTAAGTGATTGTCAAATAAGTAAAACCTGTCCAATAAGCATTGCATGTAACATAATGATCGTAACCACAACAATAACAATTATCTCTTCATCTCCACCTGAAAACCCTTCGAGACTCAGTTAGAGGTGGCTGATCAGGGCTAGTATTTCTAACAACCAATATGACCTTAATGATGATGATAGGAATTTCAACCTATTAATTGACCACTTTCATTTAGTTTTGGCTACAATCCATTATATCGAACATTTTAAGTGGATTTCAAAGAAGCAAACCCTCTCCAATAAACATTGCATGTAACATAATGATGGTAACCACGACACTAACAATTATCTCTTCATCTCCATCTGAAGACCCTTTGAGACTCATTTAGAGGGGAAACCAGCGTTTTAGTCCGACTGTCTGAGGCTAGAGACTAATAAGGTGACCAACAAACACTCTGCTTTCCTAACACTTTTAATGATGAGAATCTACCTGCCCGTGCTAATAATTTTTATTCTTGGAGAGCAGTGAAAGTCTTAATAAACAAGTATTAAGTTCATAGAATCTTAGTGATCATCATAGTTTAGAATAAACTTTATTTTATGAAAAAATAAGCATGGAACCAATATATATATATATATATCAGAAAGATGTACTCTATTCATTTAAGCATTAAAGAAAGTAATAAATTTCAGCTGCATGTCAAATGAGATGAGGCTTTTAAAAAATTAAAGAGCATTTGGCTTCATCTCCATTGCCAAGCAGTCCCATACCTAGAAATCTAAAGAAATTTCAGATAGACTCTAAAGCGGGTTTAAACCTAATATATCAATTAAAGGATAAATTATTATTTGCATTAGTGTCAACTAATAGAAAGCTCTGAATTAATGTTCAGGAAATCTTGTTCGAGTGGTTAATGATAGACTAATGCAGTCAGCCTGCTTTACTAAAAGCTCAAGCATTTTAGGAGACATTTGAATTGGTTGGTGCAGATGGCAGAATAAGAACTACAATTTATCATGGGAGAGTTTATGGAAAAGTAGGTGTTCGGTGAATTTGATTAAAGGAATAACAGTTCAGTCAATATTTATGCAAAGTACAAACGTACAAGCAAAGGCCCAAAAAAAAGAATTTTAAAATATATCCTGCATATGGTGGGAAGGAAAATCAGGTGCCGCTTATAATGGAGTAGTGATATTTAGAATAGAAGTATACTTGATTGATATTTGACGCTTCTAAGCCTTGGAAGACACCAATACGCCAGTAATTAAAAAATATAGCCTGATAAAATAATGAGCCCATAAAGTTCAAGAGGTTTAATGGGATTTTTTTATTGATTGAGCTTGTCTTGTACAGAAAATATTTCATTAAGCCATAATTAAGGTGCTAAAAATCTGACCAATCCTCAAAAAATTCTAAAAGTTCTAGCAATATGGGCAGTAATTGACTTATAGCACTAATTTGTTATCTAGAACTTTATCTAGCACTTTCGTAAAGGGTTTTTTGACAGGACTTCAGAATTTCAAAATACTTTCTCGGCAGGAAAGTGGCATTATCAAAACAGGAAATTAATATTTTTCAGGAAAAAAATATATTCTTGTTCTACTTAACAAGTATGAATATTTGGATGTAAACCAATAAAAACTACAATGGATCAACAAAAAAAATTGGATCATCTCTGAATAATACGCCCATTAACAAAGATAGTTATTAAAGCTTTTAAATAAACTCATCTACCTCCCTTCCACCTGTTCCGACATTGGTTTCTACATTAGTCCTACTAAACAACGATAGAAAAAATCATATGAAATTTTTTAACCACAATATAAAGTACCTTAAATTGATGATGGCAAAAAATTTGTTGTATAAAAAGTCATCCAACAAGGAAATCAAAGTTTTTTACACATTTTGATTAAACTGGAGACATCTAATTGAAAATTTTATCTTTTGGCCATTGTACTTATATAAGGGGAAACTAGATTACCTGGAGATGTGAGAATCTATGGTCTCAAGAACTAGTGCTAAAGAAGAATACAAGTCATTGAAACTTGATACTTATGAAAGAATGTGGGTATTAATTTTGTTAGAATACATAAATTATCAAGTGAATTTTTTTCAAATTATATTATGACAACCAGGCTGCTATAAGTATTACAAAAACTTATGACCACCATCACAACACTAAACATTTTGAGAAAGTTGGATATTTCATCTCAAAAAAATGAATCGAATTAGCCCACCTAAATTATATTCTAACAAACTCTCAAACTAAAAATATTCTCACCAAGATTTTATCCAAATAAGTTTTGATAATCTGATTAACAAGTCAAACATAATAAACATGCATGACCAAGCTTGAGAAACATTGTGAAATAATCCTGAATTTGTGGCCGGAGCCTTTCCATGTACAACAATTCATTGACAGCAATTTTCCATCTATAACATTATAGCAATTCATAAACTGCAGCTTTGCATCGACAGCTATCCATTAATTTCTAGAACACATTCAATTTCTGCAGTGTACTTAATTCTGGATACCGTATGTGTGTGTGTGTGTGTACATAAATATATACACGTATACTTATATATGTGTATATATGTATGTATGTATGTACGTATGCATGTATGAGTGTATGTATGTACGCATGCATGAGTGCATAAATGTTCCCGTTTAGTTTGTTCAGAGGGGCTCCATTAAATTCAGCTTATAAAGTTGAATCTCAAATGGCATAATGCTGATGACAGAGAATGCAAAGAATCAATTAAAATATTGTTATGCAATACTAAAAATTGTGGAATTTTGAAACAAAATTTCACTTACCTTGGGCCCTCTGAGAAATCTGAAGAGGAAACTTTGTTACTGGGGCTACGCCATTCTCATATTGTGTGTTTGCTTTGTCATCTTCCTTAATTGAACATTTGGAAAATTCTACAACTGCGTCACTTGAGGTATGTGCTGTGTTTTCTGAACGAAATACAGAGGGCCTTCTCATGGGAAAACAAAATCAGCCTCAGCCTCACTTGCTATATATACACAATCAGGCTAGTTTTGCTTCAATGTATATAAGGGAATGATTGGGACTTAATTCCATAATTGAGTTCCATAAAATGAATTTCAGTGATGTTCAATTATTTTCATGAAAACCCAAATTCAATGTTTGTTAGTCAGCATTTGATTTAATCTTTGTTTGTTATCCAGATAATTTTTTATTATTTTACTGTTATTATGAATATAAAAGGATATTAAAATCCATCTTCGAATTTTATATTGTTTTATTATCAAGTCAAGCAAATATAATAAATGAAAGTGAAGCACACATTCAGCCTATGAAGGTAAGTACCAAAAATTGGAACCCAACTATTCATTTTCTACCAAATAAATATTTGAACTCAATTATAATCGCTTCCAAATACTTTCATCAAAACAAACTAACCTCAAAAAAGAAAGAACTAACTCACCTAGGTAATGATGCGTGTTGCCTCTCAGGTGGAGCCACTGTTGCACCGTTTCCATAGTGTTCTTCAAGATAAGCAAATTGCTTCTTGAACTGGTCAACCGCGCTGTAAGACAATGTGATTATGAATTTTATTGGTCATTATTTAAGGACTAAGGTTTCGACTGAAATTTGTTCCGAGAATTCTAGAGAGCGATGAGATTGGCAAAAAAATGTACCTCTGAAGCAAACATCAGAGAAGTATAATCATTTGAAGCAGTTGTTAAGAAGATCTAGTCCTTTTTTTGTTTTTTAGTGAAAAAAATTGAATAACGTAAATGTAAACATGACAATAAAATGGTTATTTATTATCTGATCAAGGCAAATTAACAACATTATTTTGTGCAGCCTGAAATTTCATATGATGTTGATGAGTTTGAATGGGAAATTGTAGTTTTTTTACAATAGTAAGTACCTTGGATACATAAAATTAGTTGAATCTTCCCCTTCCAAAAACTCCTTCAACAGTTTTGGATGATACTCTAGAATTTCCCTGTAGATGAGCTCCCTTATATCATCTTTGGTCACTCTTCTTCTCTCGAATTCAAACTCCATTTTAGTAACTGGCTGAGCTGAAGGTTCCCTCTCAACTTTCGCTATATTCCTGAAATAAGGATCGGCCAAAGCCTGACACCTTGCAGCAACACTTCGCTTCTTTAGATCACGCAGGCATATCAATAATAACAAAAAAAGGGGACAATAACATACATACCACCCAATTCCTATCTATTTACATATCTAAACACCAAAACATTAACTTTTACATTCATACAACCAAAATTTTCATATCACATCAAAAACACCACTATTTTAACTTTTTAAAAGTGAAATGCACATTTTAATATATATGTAAGCTGATATGCATGTAAAAGATTGATGTTTAGGCATTATATATGTAAATAAATAGGAATTGAGTGGTAGGTATGTAAATCTTCCAAAAAAAAAAAATTTGAAATACATGTCTCAGTACTACTTAGGAGTAGCAGCCTTTAAACATACCTCTTCTGCTGTAGGACGATCCTTCGGTTCAAAAGCAAGCATCTTCTCCAACAAACAAAGAGCAAGGGGATCGGCATTTGGAAACTTTTGAGAGAACGGTATTTGCTTTTTTTTGCGCATGCTGCTCAAATAGCGCCTGGCTTTCTCGTTGCGAACCTAAAATGGGAAAGAAATCTCATATGTTACGATTATAAGTACCATGAGAAAAGCGTAATCGAGATTAAGTGCTGGGATCATGCGAACAAACACAAACCCTGGCAATAGCTTCAGGAACAGGAGTTCCAAGAAGATCAGTCATCAGATCCAATTGATGGACAACATTTTTCCCGGGAAAAAGAGGTTTTCCAGTTAGTAATTCAGCAAATATACAACCAATACTCCAGATGTCTATAGCAGGTGTATACTGCAGAGATCCAAATGTGAAATAAATATAGTGTGAGCCAAGAAAAAATAGTTCTACAATGATAATTAAAAGAAGCTTTAATCTAACATCTAAAGTACTCTCTCTATATATATATATATATATATATATATATATATATATGTACATAAAAATATATATGAGCATACATATATAGATACACGCCGTGCTAAATATTTTACCAAACCCTACACAAGGGGGGAATCAAACCCGTGAACTAAGGGGACTTACGACCTTTAGAGAAGCTACTCCACCTTTCTTTTCTTTGCTCTTTCACGTGGATTATTCTTTCCTCTCTCTCACACAATTTTTCTTCTTTTTTTTTCATTGCTTCTTGGTTTGATTTAGCTGTTTATGTATGAAACATAAGCGCACATATATATAGCTCTGGTTATATATGAACCGTCAAGCAAGTTCGTAAGTTGAACGTTTTTTTTTTCAAGGTCGTGATGACAAAGACATACTATATATGTATATATATATGTATATCTATATATATATATATATGTATATATATATGTATATCTATATGTATATATATATGTATATATATATGTATATATAAGATGTCTATAGCAGGTGTATACTGCAGAGATCCAAATGTGAAATAAATATAGTGTGACATACATACATACATGCATATAATGATAATTAAAAGAAGCTTTAATCTAACATCTAAAGTACTATATATATAAATAAATAAATTATATGTGTGAGCGCTTGTGCGCGCGTGTATCTATATATGTATGCTTACATATTTTTGTATGCACATATATATATATATATC